TCCTTTCAAATTTTTGCCATACATTTAGGCTATACAAAACACGTTCCTCCCGTTGGGGTGGGCTTATGTGCTTTGCTCTTTGTACTTCTTGAAGGTGCATATGTTTCCCTTCTGCCTGGTGACGAAATATTCTCATTATGCTGGTCATCAAACTTAAAGAATAACCCCCCCCCCCCCACCCCACGAAAAGCACACTCCTCGCTGGTTTCTTCTGTCTTTTGATACCCCCACCCAGACAACTAATAAATCAAACCAGTGTCTAACCGAAGCAGTGTTCCAAAGAATATCATAAAGGAGAGTTTACAGCTGCTCGATTTGGCAGAATGTATTTCATCCAAACTGTTTTTATCTGAAAAAAACCTCGATCTATTTGTCTTGGTTAAAGAGGAATATGATTTTCATCTTTTGCTCGTTATATTTGTCGGTCTATGAAACGAGGAAGGGATATAACGAAAGAAAAGTGACTTTCTTGTGCCAGAAAGTTGGGGCCGATTGATTTCATCTTCTGCAGAAATAAAAGCTAGTATCTTTTGGATTTCCCCGTCAGTTGGCTCGCCCCAGTAGTAAGAACTGTTACATTTACGATAAATGCTTTTTTAAAATTGGTCTTTGTCAGTTGATATTACATGGTTTTAGTTTCTATAGGTTGTTCTCTCAAAAAGTAAATAAAACGCTTTTTAAGAATACGTTTTGATTCCCCATTATTTGGACATTGAGATTTTGAAAAGAAGATGAATTTATTTCTCTTTTCATACAATATGTCGTTTTCGAAGCTATAGCATCATAGAGAAACGTATTTCTCCGCGGGACAATTGGTGTTTTACTCCCTTTCTAACGACAATGGAAGATTAGCACACTTTTAGCGCAGTTTCACCTTCTAACAGTCAGTTAACAAACATAATTACAAAGGCCTCAGGGATTAACGTTTAAAGCATTCTCGTGCGTATCTTAGTGTGACAGTCTTAATTGTCATTGATGGCTAAAGATTTTTTTTTTAGTTTTGGTTATTTATGTTTCAAGGCTGGTTAAATAAATATCGTTAATTAGTTAGATTAACTACATTCCCAAAACAAAGAGAACACAAAATTATTATTTTTTTCTGACCGTTCAAGATAAATTGGATAACCGGCAACCACAAATCCCTCCTTACCCCTGGCTCTATGAATTATGTGAGTTGGCAGCTGCGTTTGTATAACTGAGACGATAAAACAGACCCAACTAATCGGACAGATGTAGACTCTACTGGAACCATAACGCTCTAATCCTTTGAGTGGCGTTCTTAACTACTGCCAGCAACGCTTTTAAATCAGCATTTTGTCTGCGGCACTGGGATAGGCCCTGGGCATTATCGTATATTTTCCACTCGACTATGGTGTTGCTTAACGTTGCTCAACCTCAAGAGGAAGAAAGAGAAACAAGGGAGGGAAAAACTGGGTTTGTGGGGGGGGGTAACTGAACCAAATAGCATTTATACACCAAGAGTATTCATTGCAGAGAGCCAGCTTTCGATAGTGAGTAACTTTCTATTTTTGAGCATGTTGTGCTTAGTCTAGGCATAACATTACGTTTTATCATAATCCTAGACTGTGGTCTGTGACGTGAAGCGCACGATTTGACTCAGTTTGAAGGGACGAAATGAAGGATGGAAAAAGGGAGGGGGGGGGGGGGGGGAGGCGAGACTAGTTGATTGTCCTTCATTTATTGGCCGCCCAGTTAAGTTTTGATAAAGGTAAAGAGCTGCGTTATGACAGTGCACGGTCTAAAATATTATGCTTCAAGTCTTTTTCATTTTTGGTAAGTGTTTTACGGCGCTCGCTACTGCATAAAGTCATCTGAGCTTTGAAAGTGCACTTTGACCAGTCTGGTTTCTGCAGTTAATCCGTTTACACAAAGCAGACAAATCGAATAAGTGTCAAGCCCTCCTCCCTTAGCTGTACGTAAATCAGCAAAGCACCAGTTAGCGGGTGTTTACGAGGGTAAAAAATAAATTGTCCCCCTTGTCTCTGGTATCTGACTGACGAGGTTCAGTATCGTTTAAATGTTCCCCGCGCGTCGTCTGTTCCCACCCCGGAAGGGAGATAATGCCATTTTCAGAAAGAAAGGAAAAAACAAACCAACCCTAAAAAGCAACACCGAGACCAGAAAAAAAGAATAACTCTTGTGTTTTGATCATAATGCCAAGGTGGCTCGGTACGGCTGTCAGAAGTTATCTAGTAAATGTGAGGCAGCGTGGTGGAATCAGGCTCACGTCAAAATGATCAAAGTGAAGAAACTTGCTTTTTTCTGTGGGTTTGTGAATTTTTCTCAAATTTTTGTTTTTCAGCTCAACACTTTTCATGCCCATTGAAGAACTAATTTCTGTGTGGATTTTTCTGAAAAACGTTGATTAAAGGCACAAAAAATGTAAATTTTCAGTTACCACGGACTCTTAAGCTAAGGAGATAACTAATCTTTGGCGACCATTTTCTCACTAATTTTACATCTGAAAACAGGTGACCCCCACTTCCTTCATTCGCAAATATCTCGACTTATATTCAAGATAAATGGATATTTGTTTCATCCAAATAAACACAAGTGAACAAGCTTTACGATGATACCAATAACTCTACATGCCCAAAAATTGACGAGAGCCTGATTCCACCACGCTGCCTCACAAATTTTGTCATTAGCGTATCTATTAACTAAATTTATAGAATCGTAGTGTGGGCTTCTGCGACTCTTCCTATCAGGACCAACCCAAGCTGAGTGGGGGTACAGAATCTTTGCAGAGAGACGGAGATACTCCATTAGCGGCGTTTGCGCGCAGCAACGACACGTCTAACCATTCCACCACAAACGGCGATATTTCGTCGGTGTCGCAAGCAATCCACTTAAGACTTCAGTCAGTTTGGTTCCTTTTTACACCAGAGACAAAAAAATAGAAACAAATACAAAAAACAACAACAAAACAAAACAAAAACAAACAAAAAACTCTACTTTTTATTGTGTTAGTCCTATCAGGAAATATGAAAAGCAAGAAAATTGCAAGCCTATACCATACCATTAACCTGCAGTTTGGTGGTGTTGAAAGGTACATCTTTTATAGAGCTTTGGGAGGGTGTAAAAATCGAAAATTCTGAAAATCGCTTGCAACAGAGACGTGTGTCTACATGTCTACATGGGATTTTTTAAAATGGTTTTGCTGGACGCCTTCCTGGACGCAATAGCGCCTGTTTGACTGTGTAGTCTGATTTTCAGAAAAAAGGTAATGAGGAAGGATAGAATCACAGTTGCGATATATTACGAAAACTATAAGATAATGTTGTGAACATTAATAGCGGTCCTACTCTTATCGCTGTGTAATAAGGTATTTCCCAGTACGGGAGACTTTCGGCCGCCTCAAGCAGTTGTTGGAAGATCGCTACCATCATACGGAGATTTGGGTTTCAAACCTTAGATGTGTCCTCATGTTCATTCATTTGTCTTGTTGGAACTTCTAGTAGAAAGCATGAATTTATCGTCATTAAATTTTATCTGTTTGTTTCTAGGACTGGTTGTTTGTGGTGTTCTGTCTCAGAATGTTTAAATAAGTGAATAGAAAGTATATAAGAAAAAACTCCACTTTTGTTGGTCATCATCGAGAAAATTGGTTTACAGTTCTGAACCAACACACATACATAAATAACTACATATATTTAACAGAACATAATAGACTGTTCCACCATGACGCACAACCTCACATACATGCCATTCCTATTTCTGTGCATCGCACTGTTTTTGGGCGGAATTAGAACAGTTTTGCGATAAAAAAAAAGCGACAAATCCATTTTTTTTCTGGCTCTGAGAAAAATGAAAATTTCTGTTCTTCCCCCATTCTCTGAATAATCTTGAGTGGCCTGTGAAAAAGGTTTACTCCAGTACGTTCCTCACCTTTCTAGATACGACGGTACTAGTTTCGGCCAAACTTTGAGGGACGTTTGTCTCGATTTGTCGTCAAACTGTTCCTTATCTTGTTCCCGGACATCCTCGGTGACTGTCCACCTAAATTCCGAGTCATCGATACTCGCTTGACATTATAATTAGCATGGGCTCACTAACCGGTCGATCATTAGGAGCTGTTTGCTCAATGGGTATCATGCTTGACTGTTGGGATGTCGACCCTGGTTGGAATAAAAAAAGGGCCTTGTTTAAGTTTTCATGGCTGAACACAGTAACCATCCTGGCTTGTTGGATATAAAAGTCACACCCAAGCTGCTTCCTCATATAATATAGGTGGTATAACCCATAGGCTTGAATTATAATACTATTTAAGACTGTGCACTGTCATGGCTAATTCTCTTTGCTCATTACAAAAAACTTCGCTGCAAAGCGTGCGTACACGGACGACCAAATGAAGGGCAAAACTCCAGTCTCTCTACGGTCGAGTAAGCATGGCACCCCCCCCCCCATGCCCTTCATTTGACTCTTATTTGTGTCAGCTGGTATGATCCATTATGAGCCGTAATTAAATCACACTGCACATTCTTGGGTTTTATAAGACAAGTCTATGATATAACCGTAACTTCATTGTGCTGAAAAACGGTGTTCACCTTTAGCAAACCGAATGTATTTAGTCCCACCCCCCACCCCACCCCGCTCCTAGGGTAAGGAGATTTGTTGAATTTTCTCATCTTTCATTGTCACCACTGGCGTTTGTGCTGTGTTAGGGCTAGGCTGTTCACTTGGTATGAAATATGTGTGGGTTCAATTAATAAATAGTAAGTGTAATTTGAGGAGTATCCGCGTTTTTTGCTCGCATAGTATACATGACAGCCTGGATTGACGCCGACAGGCAGGTCGGTGAAACGTGTCGGCAGGAGTGTTGTTTTACTTACTCTACCTTACTTTATCCTTCTTCGTCTTTCGGCCAAGGGCCATCTAGCCAAGTATTGTGTGGTCTACACCTACCCTTGGATCCTGACTCTTTTGGGTTGTGTGTTTGTGCAGCTGGTTGGTTTGGTGATACTCTTTACAGATGACCGAACCACTTAATGTTGTTTCACTACAACAATGATTTTCTTCTCCAGAGCGCACGTACAAGCACCATACCTTTCTGGACGAGGAGCCCACTGTGATGGAGATTCTAGACACCGCTGGACAGGTCAGGCAAATGATATACCTCACAGTCTCTGTTGGTTCATCGACATCTGTGGGCATGCTTGGCGTGTTGTACCTGAATGATTGTTCGTATAATATGTATGCCATATACAGTGGCGTCCTAAAGAAACTTGAAAATGTACTCACACAATCATCGTGTTAAAGCCTTGCACTACCCACTCGCAATGAAACAGTTTTCACTGTTGCAAACATGTTCCTTTCAACTCTTTTGGTAGACTCTTCCAGCCTCACTGTAAGCTTGCTTAATCAAAGCTTTCGACTGGTTATGGAGTGACACGACAGGGGGTGAACAGGCTATTTCTGTGGCAATGACACCATTTTGAATGTTAGGCATACTGTTCATTGGTGATTATGAGCGTCTTTTTACATTTAATTTATGAGGTTTATGTCTAAGGGATGAATTTGACTGCGACAATGTTTCAAAATCAGGAAGGGGAGGCAGTGATTATTTGATTGTATAGACGCTTCGCCACTGCCCACTCGTGCAGCATACCAATTTGAAGTTAAATGAATTCTACACAATCTGACTCGATAGCATTTCACTGACGATTTGAGTCGACTGAGATATGGTCACTCAAAATCAATCTAAATAAATCCGACCTCGGAAAAATTGCAGGAAACCAAAGAAACTGAAACAATGTGTTTTTAAGCATTACACCCCCCCCCCCCACACACATACACACATACACACTCATATCTATATATTATGTACATATCTATATACATATATGCACACATATGTATATAAGATCACTCCACCATCACATTTCACCAGATTTTTCATCTCACAATCATCTTTCACCTCACCATAGCCATGTCACCCCCCCCTCCCTTTTCCCCCTCAGCCTTCACCAGAAGACAGCATCCAACAAGAAGGCAATATTCGATGGGGTGATGGTTTCATCCTGGTCTACGCGATCAACGACCGGCACAGCTTCGAGTCCGCGGCTGCTCTAAAGCACCAACTCGATCATATCAAGAAAACAAACGTGCAGTGCATGCTGGTTGGGAACAAGGTGAGCTCACTAACACTCGACCATTGGGTGGATTAAAAGAATGAACACTATTTCGAGATCTTTTAGTTTTACGTGATCTTTTAAATGTGTTTTTCCGTTTCCTTTTGTTGAGGACTCCAAAGAAGTGAGTAACCCCCAGTTTTGCGTTGAAAGACGGTTGAAGAAAGTGAGGTCATTCAACAACAGAATACCCCCCTCTTCACCTGCAATCTCTTTTTGTGTCTCTGTCTCTTTCTCTGTCCCTGTCTCTGTCTTTCTGTCTCTCTCTGTCTCTCTGTCTCTCTCTGTCTCTCTGTCTCTCTGTCTCTCTGTCTGTCTCTCTCTCTATGTATGTATGTATGTATGTATGTATGTATGTATGTATGTATGTATGTATGTATGTACGTACCTACGTATGTGTGTAAGTATGAGTGTGTATGTGTGTATGTGCTTGCGTCACGTGCGTGCTTGCGTGTATGTGTGCGGGCGTACCCAATTTATGTTAAATATCCGATGTGCTGCACCAATGTATGTAATTGCCGAACCATAATATGTTAAAATATGTGGATGTATCGGCCAAAGGCCTTAAAATCAATAAATCATTTTGAATCTTTGAATATTGAATTTCTCTCTCTCTCTCTCTCTCTCTCTCTCTCTCTCTCTCTCTCTCTCTCTCATTCTCTCGCTCTCTCATTCTCTCTCTCTCTCTCTCTCATTCTCTCTCTCTCTCATTCTCTCTCTCTCTCATTCTCTCTCTCTCTCATTCTCTCTCTCTCTCTCTCTCTCTCTCTCTCTCTCTCTCTCTTTGTCCTTCTGTCTATAAATATAGTAAGTCTATACTATTATATACGATTATGTCATAGATTTGTTATATAATATATAAATATATATTAATTTAATTATATATATATTTTTATATATATATATATATATATATATATATGTATGTATGTATGTATGTATGTATGTATGTATGTATGTATGTATGTGTGTGTGTGTGTGTGTGTGTATGTGTGTGTGTGTGTGTGTGTGTGTGTGTGTGTGTGTGTGTGTGTAAGTGTGTGTGCGTGCGTGTGTGTGTGTGTGTGTAAATGAATATTTCACTTCGTTGTAATCTCGAGAAATAAAAGGGATATTTCGTGTCCATTTTCAGATGGATCTTCTCCACGAGCGTCACGTGAGGACAGAGGAGGGAGAGACACTGGCCCAGGAGATGTCTTGTGCCTTCTACGAGACGTCCGCCTCGGACGGAGGGGAAGAAATCTCCGAAATCTTCTACGAGCTTCACAGAGACATAAAGAGAAGGAAGATGGTGGAATCCAAGGGCAGGAGGAGGTCCTCGGCACAACAAGTAAAAAACGTGTTCAACCGCATGTTGAACAAGATTGGCAGTTCATCGTGATCAAGAGACAATTTGATTCTGTTGGTTTGTTTTGGTAAACCATGTTTCCTTTAGAAAGTGCACGAAGAATGTGCACTTAAACAGATCTATAGTAAAATTTTGTGGCCAAAACATTACTTTATCAGACTGACGTAGAAGAAAAAGGGACGATCCAACCCCAAGGTGAACTGAAATCGCAATTGACTGCCAATGGCGCAACGGAGGAGGAGGGGAGCTAACCGGATAGAAATAATCTCCTTCACCCATAAATTAGCAGTTACTTCCCCTTTATAGATGTTTGGGCACGTTGGTAAAAATCATGTCTACATAGTGCATTAAATTATGTTTCTTCTAATTCATCTTTGCCAAAAAGAAAGGAACAGTTCGTTATCTTCAAGTTGTGTACTTCTCTGTAGTAAGAATATCATGCCGAGACTCCGATGCGAGTTAAACGGCTTCAATCCCGTAAGCTTAAAAAAGGACGTCGTTTCGATGAGGATTTTTTGCCTCATATAATAGTTGGGAAGGTCGTTATGTTAATACTATTATAATACATAGCCATGACGCTGAAATCCATGAGTAAGTGTGATTTTGGCTCAAAACTGTAGTGGTGATGAGTGTTTTTGATACATTACTACTTTTATGACATAACTCGTCGAGGGCAGGCAATTATGCTAATCTTTCTTCAAAAGCAACTTCTAAGGAGAAATCACGCATCCCCCTTCAAGCCACAAAACAGGCGTATTGTCAGTTGCAATAAAGAGGTCGCCTTCTGTTAACTTAACGAGGTGCCCTTCCTTCAGCAAATTAGCTGCTCTCCCACCATAAGAGGTCCCCTCCCATCAGCAAAAGATGTTGTCTTTGTCTTCGGTAAGTTAGTTTTCTTGAGGTCAAACAGCCTAATGTGCAGAAGTTGTTATAACTTCCAAACAAAAACAGGAACAGCATCAGCAGCAACAACAACGGCAACAACAACAACAACACAACAACAACAATAGCAACAACAACAACAACAACAACATCAACAACATCAACAACAACAACAACAGAAACAACAGCAACAACAACAACTACAAAATGATAAAACATTACTCAAAACAAGTCATGACACACATGCACATCTGCGAGTAGGTTTTTGGTGTTCGTACTTGATATTTCGCTAGAGGAGAGGTTGCACGCTCTTCTGGTGCGGGTACAGTCACAGTGGGCCTATTGACACTATTGATGCTTTACTGACATTGAAGAGTTGTGCATTCCGGGATCTCCTAATATTGTTTTTGTTTTATAAGTGTTTTACGGCATTTGCAACACAATAAGGTCATGTAAGTGCCGAAAGTTTAGAGGTGATTCAAGAGAGTAGTAGCAAACACAAAAAAGAATGAGCAGAGATAAGGACGACAGATGTTTTATAGGAAAGAAGAAGCAAACCACAACAGAGCACCCGCGAACCACCCACTCCCAATACTGTGCTATGAATTACTCATAATAAATTATTAATGTTGAGTGAAGACAGGGAGAGGGTAGAACGTAAACTTAAAGTGCGGACCAAGGGCGTTGTCTTTTGTAGATACGCTGTGCAAAGCTACCTACGCATACTGCTTTCCCGAAAGGTGTTCCCTGTGAGGTACTTTCATACATCTGTCATTTAAAAACTTCATATCTCGAGAGTAGATATTTAGCTGTCCTTCCCTCAACATGTTGTTGAAATCTTATGTCCGCAATTTACGTATTGTGTTATGTAAATAACATTGCTGCGGACGTCATCCAGTTTTGAGTACCGGTACTCAATGCAGGACAGATTAATAGGAGTTCTAAAGTTTGGGAAATAAATAAACTCTTTGGCTGTTTTCATTTTTTGTATTCACACAGAGTCGTATAAGCAGATCATAGATAATTTGTGAGGCAGCGTTGTGAAATCAGGCGCTCGTCAAGATAACAAAATTGATGAAAGTGGCTTCTCCCAAAAGTCTGGCTATTGTTATCGAATTGTTTAAATTTTGGCTTAACATCTTTTATGTCCATTCAGGCACACATTTCTGTGTGGATTTTTACTGAAAAACGTTGATTAAAGGAACAAAAAATGTAAGTTTTCAGTTACCATAGGCTCTCAAACAATAGAAATAACTTCGTCGGCCATTTTCCCACTAATTTAACCTCTGAAGCAAGGCAACTTCAATAGCAAATACATCAAATTCTATTCAAGATAAATGGGTATTTTTTTCATCGAAGGCACGACAAATGGACAGATGGCACCAATAACTCCACATGCCCAAAAATTGACGGGCGCCTGACTCCACCTCGTCGTGACAGATTTGGTCAATGGTTTGCTCGCTCAAGTGTGCGGATAGTGGCGTCTGGTAAACCCTGGACATCAAGGCGAGAATTGTGCCCTCGATATTTATAATTTTGCGTTACAAAAACTTGGCATCTTTGCCAAGAGAAAGACAAAAAAAAGGGAGAGAGAGAGAGAGAGAGAGAGAGAGAGAGA